AATATACTCTAATGTAATTATGATTTACCTTGCGTGTCCTGCTCTGAAGCATCCTTGTACCAGAGCTGGGTAGTTGTAAGTTGTTCTTATGTCCCTACCAGATTATAAAATCTAATGCATGTAACATGGAACAAGTCTGAAGTGTGTCTTCAAAGGCAATGTAAGCAGGCCTAAAAGACTAATTTTCCCAATTAGAAAATGGAAGTAGTATAGTTCTGTTCAATCCTTAATTTTTATTCTAATACTAAATTTGTTTTTAGGCAGGTGTTGGATGGATGCTTTGGAGCTGGCACTGAAATGTTCAAGTCTGCTTAAACGTACAATGATTAGGGAAGGTAAAGAACACGATTTGAACTCTTCAGCAGACAGTAGTCATGTCTCTTTCTATGGTCTGCTTCGTGCCAACAACATGCACAGTGGAGAAAACCTACCGTAAGTGAATTAATTACTAAACCTGATTGTCTTTTTGGCAGAACCTTGTAGCGATGACTTCTCCACAGGGACATTAAGGCTACAGTTCATTTTGCTCCTGAGTTCTCTTTACATTCCCTCTTTGCACTGTGTTTTATAGTCTGCACATAAAACAAAAATCTTTTTTCAAGCAAAGTGGATCCAGAGGAAAGTTTGGCCCAAGGAACTTGAAGCTGAGTATCACATCAGTAAGCTTTAAGTACTTGGTTAAACTGTTCAAGATAGAAAAAATGAAAATTTTAAGTTGATGTCTCTTGTTAGCTTCACCAGAAGATAAGAAGCTTAGTACATGTGGCACAAGTTGGTAGATGTGAATTAAAGTTGCTGTTCTTAATGGATGAATAGAAATGAATAATCTTCTTTAAATTATTTCAGCATGTCTTATCCTTGAACCATCAGATGGACGTATTCAGTCACCCTATTATTAAATTAAATGCATAAAAGTTAAAATTGTCTGGTATCACCTGGTATCTAACATGTGAGTGCCCTTGACTAACTCCCTGTTTATTTCAATAAATGCTTTCAGCCAGCTTTTGAGAGCATAAGCTTGTGTGGAAATACATTATTAAACAAGTGTAGTGAATGAATGGTGTTTTCAAATGCTTCAGCTGTGTTACCAAAGTGCATTAGAAATTATAACAGATTTAGTCCTTTATTTGAAATAATTGGGTCTGAAGCTTGTGCTATGAACAGTTTCTCTCAGTAGACTTCCACCAATTCAATATACTTTCAGGTGGTCATATATTTATTTCAAATATCTCCCACCTATGAAGACTTTGCTGTCCATCTGTCTTTTCTGAGGGCAGGAATTTTGTACCGCTGTTAAGAGTATGCTCCTGTATTTGAGACAGAGGCCTAAACTGGGAAAATGTAATTCTTTTTGGAATAGATGGTCTGAGAAAAGCACAAAAAAGGCAAACTGTTGCCTCTGGCAACAATTCAAGGCCCTATCCAGATGACCAAGCTTGGCTCAGCTACAGTTTTGCTCCTTCTGTTATCTTGTAGAAACAATATAACTACTGTGTGCAATTCAGCTGGAGATCTGTAGTCTTGAAAAGTAGTTTAATATCAGCTGCTGGCCCTGATTGCAATCACAGCAATTAGCTACAGCTGTTAAGTCTAATTAAGATTAATGCTTTAATTAAGTAGATCTTTTGATATAGCATATTGTAAGATTATTTAGTGTGTTTAACTATCTAAGTGAAAACCTGGCAGGTCTAGCTTTAATGGGGTTGGCAGAAGAGGGAGAAGAAAGGTGATGAAAGCAATTTTAGCTTCCACTGAGAGTGAGTTTTTTAAGTATGTTAATAGCAAGAGGAGGTCCAAGGAAAGCATTGGACCAATATATGTTCAAGATGGTCACCTGAAAAACAGGGATGAAGAAAAAGCAGGCACATTCAATGCTGCTTTTTTTTTTTTTCCCCTCTCAGTCATTAATAATGCTAGTACTGAATTTCCATTTGTGGACACTGAAATTTTAAGAGATCAGTGTATCAGCTGAATATTTTTAAGTCCATGGGGTCTCATGTGATACATCCCAAAGTACTGGAGGAGCTAGTGGATGTTATGGTGGGAAATCTCTCAAGCATCTACCAAGAGTCTTGGGAGTCTGAGGAGGACTCCACTGACTTGAAATTAGCCAACAGTATTCAGATTTACAAGAAAGGCCTGAGGAAAGACTCAGGAATCTACAGACCTGTGAGTCTAACCTCAGTATCTGGAAAAATTATAGAGGTCATACCGTGTGCTGTTGAAAGACATTTAAAGAACAGTGCAATCACCAGGCACAGTCGGCATGGAGAAAGTCATGTTTAACTAATGTGGCATTCTTCTATGATAGGATCACTTGCCTACTGGATGAAAGGAAGGCAGTGGATGTAGTTTTTCTGGATTTTAGTAAGGCTTTTGATACTGTCCCTCACAAGATCATTCTGGACACATTATCCAGCTATGAGAGTCACAATGTGCTGATTGAAGAACTGGGTGAATGGCAGGACTCAAAGGGATGTGGTGAATGGGGCTACATCTGGCTGACAGCTGGTTGCCAGTGGTGTCACTCAGGGCTCAGTCCTAGGGCCTGTTCTGTTGGGTATTTTTATCAGTCATCTGGATGTAGGAATTGAATGCACCATTAGCAGGTTTGCTGATGATACCAAACTGGGAGGTGCTGTTGACTCTCTCAAGGGATGAGAGGCCTTGCAGAGGGATCTGGGTAGATTGGCATGAAATTTAACAGGTCTAAATGTTGGAGCCTGCACCTAGGACAGAGTAACACTGGGCACAAGTATAAATTGGGAGAAGAGTGGCTGGAGACCAGCCCTACTCTCACCACAGCCCTTGGGGTGCTGAGGTGATCGTTGGGCATGAAGTGGGCTTAGGGCCCAGCTGAGGGGCAGTGGAAAAAGGTCTGGGGGTGCTGGCTGAGAGTGGGGTCAACATGGATCAGCAGTGTGCCCTGGCAGCCAAGAGGGCAAACCCCATCCTGGGGTGCATCAAACCCAGATAACCTGCTGGTCAAAAGAGATGACTATGCCCCTGTATTCAGTGTTCATGTAGCCTCATCTTGAGTGCTGCGTGCACTTCTGGACACCACAATTTAAGAAGGATATGAAGGTTCTTGACTGTCCTGAGGAGGCAGCAAAGCTGGTGAAAGAGCTGGAAGGCATGTCCTGTGAGGAGCGACTGAGAACTTCCAGTGTGTCTAGTTTGGAGAAAAGGAGGCTGAGGGACAACCTGATTGCTCTCTTACAGCTTCCTGAGGAGGGGAGGTGGAAAGGGAGCTGCTGAACTCTTCTCCCTGGTATCCAAGGGTAGGAAGCATGGAAATGGTTTAAAACTGCATCAGGAGAGTTTTAGGCTGGACATTAGGGAGTATTTCTTTACTGAGAGGACAGTCAGACACTGGAACAGGCTTCCTAGAGAGGTGGTTGATGCCCCAGGCTTATGAGTGTTTAAAAGTCATTTAGACAATGCCTTTAATACCGTGCTTCAACTGTTGGTCAGGCAGTTGGACCTGAACACTTGCAGGTCCCTTCCAGTGTAACTGTTCTAAACTTGGTATGTTTGACAGTTCAGTGAGAAGAGGACATCGTATATGTTTCCAGCAAAGCTAGTTTGACACTGCTGCCAGATGAGGCTCGATATTGGCAATTTTAGTATATATTTTATTAAGATCCTGGTTTGGAAACAATGAAATGATTGTGTAAAGTTGAAGATTCATTTAGCCTTTTTTTTTTTTAATAGGCTAAATGACAGTGAAGTTGAAAGGCATCACTTTAAAGATCAAGATACGTACTCTGACAAATCTGATAAAGAAAATGACCATGACCACGAGGAGTCTGATAATGAAGGATTGGGGAAAAGCGAAGAAAGCGACAGCGACACATCAGAGCGACAGGATGATTCTTTCGTTGATCCAGAACCAATTGATATCAAGGAAACTACTTACTTAGAACAGAGTCATGAAGAACTTGGGGAGGTATAAGTGCTGTTGATGTAGTGAGCAAGCAGCTTCTCCAAATAGAAAGCTGGTATTTTAGGGGTCAGACTACACTTGAAAGCTGACTTGTGGGATTGGCTTTCCATATTTTCAGTAATAATGAGTGGAAGAGGTTCTGTTCACCCACTCTGCTTTGCCACTCTTGTGCTAATGTATGAGATTTTAACACAGATAATGAAATTATCTGGAATATTGCTTAGACAGAAGGTGCTGTTTGAAAGGGCCACCTGCAGCAGAAGTTGACCATGACTACTTGTTTTGTTGTTATTTCTATTTGATTTTTATTAACTTAGTCCTGGTTTTTCTTCAAGTAAAAATCTTCAAGTTGAAGGTTTGAATGCAAACTGACACTTCTTTTTTCTACTGCAAGCAAGGAGTTAAGCAGCTGTGGGATGTGCAGAATTTAGTGGAAAGCTTGCTGCGTTCCTGATGTCACCTTGCATTCTAATGATACCCCAGATACCATTCCACTTCTGCAGGTTGTTTTATGTATCTACACAGGCAAATATGACAGGGATTTGTAAACCAAAAAGCTTAGTAACAGAAACAGAGATAAGCTTTCTTCTCAAATTTCTCCCTTCTCCTCAAGTGCTAACTATGAGATTTTTTTCATACCTATGGAATTTGCATACTTTATGCTTTAGTGCTTTCTATTGTTGAGTCTAGACAAAGCAATATTTTAGGGAAGCTGAGGACTTTAGGATGACAACAAGCTCTTGAATATGCATTTTAGAACTGTTCTGAAAAGGTGTTTTTGCTTGCTTTTCCTACAACCATTGCTTTTGATTTCAGAAACTGTAAGGAAGAATATCTTCCCTCAGACAGAAGCATATTGGAGTGTGGCTGCTGATTTTGCTCATTTACCCTTAAGTCATATGTTTGTTTTTTTAAGAAAAACCACTGATACTGCTGACTGGTCAAGGCAGTGAAAAGCATAAATGTGTCAACTTTCATGGTTGGAAAAAGCTGGTAGAATGAACAGCCCTTTGGTCTATAAGTCATGCACTGAGAACAGAGTAATGCACTTGATGCCTAGGAAAGGAAGGACTAAGGAAGGTTTTCTGAGCAATATTCTACCTCAAGATTTTCTTGTCTAGGGCTGATGCAAACAAACAGTTTTTAATGCTGAATAGTATATTTATCATACTTCATTAAATATGTATCATAAGTGTATTTATAGAAACCTGATCTTTCTTCCATAGTTACTTCAGCATCTCTGAGTGGTTTGTTTTAAGTATCCATTTTCCATTCTCACTGCAACCATAGAAAATGTTGACCTGTCTTCTGGAGGATTATTTTCTTTCTCGTTTCTGTAAGCGGTTTTTGGTTCATCCTAGGCAGGAGAGGCTGCTCAGACAGAAGTAGTGTCAGAAGAAAATAAAAGTTTGATCTGGACACTATTAAAGCAAGTCCGGCCAGGAATGGATTTGTCCAAGGTTGTACTGCCTACATTTATCTTGGAACCTCGCTCTTTCCTGGACAAGCTGTCTGATTACTACTATCATGCAGACTTTTTGTCTGAGTAAGTAAATTCTATCTCTGGTTTTCATTCTTTCCATTTTTTTTTTTAATTAAAATAGGGCAACAGTGTCAGATATCCTTGTTTTCTGAAAGCTAACTGCCTAAGAACTCATATAGAACATCTTGAAGGCTGGCCCCTCTTAGTAATTTAATAGCAATCATGTTGCAGTTTAGCTTCTGAAGACTGGTTAGAAGACTTCTCAAAATTAGTTTAATTATTTTTTCCTCAAAGACGCATATTTAAAATGGTAATCCAGTACCAGTTAAACTTTTAATACAGTGTTAAGTTCTGTCCAGATTTATAGTTGCCTGCTCAAATGTAGCTAATAAATTAAAGACTGTAAATTGAAATATTATTCAACTCAGAGCTCTGCACATGAGTGGGCTGGTTCTCTGGAATAGTATCTTATAAATGGAAGGCTTTAGTGGAGGTGGAGCAGAATTTATTGTTACAAAGAACAGACTCAAATATGCAAATACGATTTCTGATTTTTTTGTTTGATTTCAGTTTTCTGAAAATTACTTGAAAACTTTAAATTTGGGTGAGATTAGGCTGAAAGTTTTACAGTAGTGCAAATCACAAACCTGTTGTTTTAGTCAGCTCATGGATTCAAGATATGTCATAACAATTGATAGTGTGTTATAGCTGAGACAATGCTGATTGTATTGTCTCAATAAGCTGACAGTCTGTGTGTTCTGTTTCACAGAGCTGCTCTTGAAGAGAATGCTTACAACCGCATGAAAAAAGTAGTGAAGTGGTATTTGTCAGGATTCTACAAAAAGCCAAAGGTGTACTTCCACGTGTTATTTTGTTGTTAGTCATTGTGTCTATTTTGAGGGCTTAGGATTGTGCTGGAGTAAATTTTTCCTTTTAAATTACATCGTTATGCATTTTTTAAAAAAGCAAGGTTAAGTGTTTAGGTTTTATTTCTTACACAAATAGATCATGGAACTTTCTAGTCCCTTGCCATGCTTAAAATAGACTCTATTCAATTTCTTTTGTCCCTCGGAGTAGAAGTTGAGCTAAATATTTTTTGATAAAGTTAAGGCAGTTCTATATTTATCATTCTTCAATGATAACGTTCTGCAATTGGAGGACTAATGTTTCCACTACTTCATTTAGCTTTTCACTAAATACTCTTTATAGTCATGTTGGTGGGAAACAGTATTGAAAGTAAGTACTTACTACCTAACTTCAGACAAAAGCTCTGTAATAATTCTACCAAAAAAAAATTTATATTCTGTGTGTCCTTACATGTAGCCTGGAATAGTTTTCTGGATATACTAAATGTATGACAATTTCCTTAGAATGAAGAGCAGAGTAACTGAGCACAATACTGAAATGATGAAATAAAATACTATATACTTTAGCACATATATCATGTACTTGAGCATATATATTATTATTATTTTTGTGTGTGTCTTATCTTCAGTGACAGACTGTGGCTTGTGTACATGCATAGTGTGGTTACTCTCTATTTCTTTTTAGGGACTAAAAAAGCCGTACAATCCTATACTTGGAGAGACTTTCCGCTGCATGTGGATTCATCCAAGGACAAATAGCAAGACTTTTTATATTGCAGAACAGGTAGATGCAATGACTGGAACAAATATTTTTAAGAAAAATAAATGTGTTGTATATTTGTGCTAGCAAAATGACATGATAGTTTCAGAAAAGGTATTTAAATGTATGAATAGTATCCTAAAAGCTCTCCTGGTGATCATAGTTTTCTTACAGATGTCTCCTTTAAGTGTCCCTTCCTAGAGAGACAGAGAGAAAAAGGTGTTTACAGCATTTCTGTTCCCTCTTAGTCCACGGAAAGTCAGATGCTAATTTTCTTAACTCTTGAAATGCAGTAGGTATTTGCTTGATCTTTGTCTCTAAAGATTATAGCCACATTTCACATAAATTAACTGTATTACAATATGTGCAGCCTGAAGTTTACATTCTGTCATTATTAGCTCAAGTTTTATACTATATTGCATGTTCTTGGTTTTCTTTTTTTCCTCTTTTTTTTTTTTTTTTCAAATATGTGTTTTTTTTCAACAGGTATCACATCACCCTCCAATATCTGCCTTCTATGTTAGCAACCGCAAAGATGGTTTTTGCCTTAGTGGTAGCATTCTGGCCAAATCAAAGTTCTATGGTAAATAATGAGGTTTTTTTGGTTGTACTTTTATTGAGGAATGTAAAATAGGTGCACTTGAGCTGTGTTTTGTGGGTGAAAGAAGGCTGTTAGAATAATCAGTGTTTGACTGTTGTATTATCCTTTCTAATTTCTATTTTTGGAGTATTTTAATTTTTAATTGGAGACACTGTATTATAGTGGCTTCACTAGACAGAAGAGATTGCAATGCTAAATATACTGATGTTCTTAATTTTATTGCTCAGTTATTAGGAAATATTGGCTGTTGTCTTTCAGGGTGAGAAACATGATATTCTGTTTTTGAATTTCAGGGAATTCATTATCTGCCATACTAGATGGAGAAGGACGGCTAACATTTTTAAATAGGGGAGAAGATTATGTAATGACAATGCCATATGCTCATTGCAAAGGTAGTGGGGTTTTTTCATTCTCTAGGTGGTAAAGTTTTGAGAACAGAAGTTTGTTATTCTAAATAATTCTTTATTCTAAATAACATACTGTGTTGGATTCAAGCTTGTCATCTGAGAAGAGTGTTCTGAACATTGGCAACATTGGTGGATCTAGGCTTCTGCATATTTTATAAGGAGAAAAATACATCTGTTGTTTAAGCCATGTTTTATTTTTTGGCACAGAAAATGATTTTTTTTTCATAAATAGTAAGAAATAGTAAAAGCATATATATATATGTAGCTGTCACTACATGATACTAATTTACTGTTTGAGTTGCCTTTTTGTTAGAACGATTTTGAGCTTTTCCAATATTTTCCTTTTGTAAACATAGAAGGCAGTGTAGTATCTACACTACACTTTGTGATTCAAGTGTAAATCACGAACATTTGTCTTTATGGGAAACCAGTCAGTGGTTTGTAAAGCTTTCTGGAAGGTCAGTAGTGGTGCAAAATACATTGTAGAATTGCTTATTTTTAAGGTGAAACTTATTCAGGATTGTCTACCCATATATTCCAAAATTCTCATTCAGAATAGCTAGAATTCTCTTTCAGAAGGCCGACTATAAAGGTAGCAAATATAATACTTTCTTGAGGTGTATGAAGATCAATTAGCAGAATTAGATAATTTGATATGAGCTTAGTAGGCTTTTCTTTTTCCATTGTTTTTTAAAGTTTTTAATATTTTGTTCAATTTTTTTATGGCTTTGGTGACTAAAATAATACTAAACAATTAAACCAGATAACATCTATTCATACATTCAAGTCAAACAGGAAGAAGGAGGACTAGTGTGACTAGTAAAGCTGATAGAGAGGGAGAAAGGTAGAAGAATATGCAGGGAAGGAGAATGTGCACGGTGAAACAAAGGTATTTGCACATCCATCCACTGTATGTAAAATATATTCAGTATTTCAAGCACTGGATTGCAAGGCAAAGACATGAGAAGGAAAGTATGCTCAGCATTGTCAATCTTGTACTTCCAGAAGTCTTTAGGGAAGGTGATCAGTGTTGTTTTATATTGGTTGTCCATGATTGCCTTCACCTGTGGTCTGATTGTACATACTGCTTCTGTTTGAGGGAAGTTTTTCTTTGTTCTTTTTGTTGTAGGTTATTTTCTTGTCTTAACCTCAGAAGCTTCCCTTCTCCAGTCATTTCCAATAAGACTAAACATCACCCTTGCTAGAGCCAGCAGCGTACGCTGCCAAAGATATGTCTTCATAAACTGTTTTTCCTGCTTATCTGTAATTCACTTAGATCTTTTTGTTTCTGTTTGGGTTATCTTATTTGGCAGAAAGATCATGATTATCGTTAGGAAAGGTCATCTGAAAATACAACTTTTCCTCTGGCACAAGCATGTTTACTCTAGGAATTGTACCCACGTAGCTTATGTTTTTTGTTTTGTTCTGTTAAAAATACTTGTTTTACCTTTTTTTTTCTCTTGCAGGAATTCTTTATGGCACAATGACCTTAGAGCTTGGAGGAACAGTCAACATCACCTGTGAGAAAACTGGCTACAGTGCAACAATTGAATTCAAACTCAAGGTTAGTAAGTGCTGCTAGAGGGCACAAAAAGGAGAATGAACATAATGATACTTGAAAAAAAATCATTAGGTGACTCCTTAGATATGGTCTGATTTAGTATGGAATTATCTTTCAGAAAATAGAGGAATCTTTGTTTTAACTGCTACATTTCCATATGTCTGAATCTAGCAAATTGTGATGTTTTTATGTTTTTATTTTTTTAATAAAAGGAGTTGTCATTCTTTTCTTAATGTATTCTTCTGAATCCAAAGGTTTTGACTGAAATTTACAGTGCTCTATACAAGTCTGGTGATAACAGATGCAAACATATAGTTAGTTGTATGACTCTTAAGAACAGCTCTAATGGGGAAAAAGCAGTGGTCTGTCTCATCTTCAGCAGTGGCAACAGTGTGTGTCTAGGAAAGTGTAGGAACAGGGGGAAGTGTTCAGTGATCTGATCAGTGTTTCAGGCATTTTGTGTGTTGTTGTTAATACACCTTGGTAGTTTTTATTTCTCTGAAAAAGTTCAGGGTCTTTTTAAACTCCTAGAGAGCCCATGGAGGAGAACTCACACCTATGTTCCCCTCTTTAATCCTGGGTACATTTAAGTTGCTCACAACACCTCCAATAAAAATGAGTCCAAGGCTAACAGCTGGCTAAGATTTATGTCAGCCTAATGCCCAGTGCTAAGCAACAGTTTACATGGACTATTTTTGGCAGCTGAGCATAATGTAGGAGCATCTCTCCATTCACATAAGCTAAACAAAGGTTTCTAAACTACTTCTAGTACTACTTCTACTAATACTACTACTTTCTACTTCTGAAAAATACATTTGCCATCTTTGAGGCAGAAACTGATTTAAAGCTGAATAAACAGTTGCCAACAAGTGTGCACGTGGAGAGGGAAATTGTATGTGATTGAAATTAGAGGGGAAACATAAAAGGTGAGAGGCTGTGTTAACTTTGCCTTGTTAATTTTGCCTTGTCAGTCCACAGCATACATATGCAGTCTGTCAAAAGGCCAAAGAAAATCCTGGTGGTTGTGTTTGTGCAAGAGTTAATCTCGTAACAAATGGTCCTTGGCAAATTGGTGAAATTACCATAGCAAATGACTGTCCCCTTCGGGATGTTATTGTGTCTCTGTTTTCTGCATTATTTACTGTTTTCTTTACACATTTCTTAGACAATACTTTTGCTCATCAAATCTCTTGAAATATAGCCTGAAGAAACTACTTACTGTGGTTTTAGACTTCTTTTGGGAATTAAATCGGAAGAAATAATACTAAAAGCCATCAGGGCTGTTTACAGCACATTTCATAAATGCACTTTTTTCCGTAACACTAAACATAGAAACAAAAATAATAGATTATCAAAATAAACATGAAACCATTTATTTTTATTTTGCAGCCTTTTTTGGGTAACAACGACAGTGTTAACCAAATATCAGGGAAAATTAAGCTTGGCAAAGAAGTTTTGGCTCTTTTAGAGGGTCACTGGGTAAGTAGTGAGTGATGGTTTTTTTAAATTCTGGCTGACAGTTGAGACAGGTGAAAATAGCACTTAGTTACAAAAAAGACTCAAGTTTAAAAAAAAAAAAGAGTTAAGTACTGCTTTTATAGAAAGTATTCAAGAAGGTATAGAATCAACATAGTGCTATTTGTAGCTGTTAGAAAATTGAGAAGTTGTGCATGTTTGAATAGTTAATGAAGAAAGTAAAATGTTTCTTCACAATGAAACTAGTGAACTGTTTTGGTATATGCGTTCGTACTATGAAGAATTGTTATGGCACCAACGTGAAATATTTAAGCCTGTTCCAGTTCTTGTGAGGTGACATGGCCTCGCTGGTTTTTGAACATGGTATGATTCTATTGTTCCAAGTTAGAACCTACTACAAAAGGGAGAAATAGAATTTTAAACTTAGCATATCTAAATATCCTTAACTGCATGCATTCAAAAGAAAATAAATTCTCATTCTCATTACAAAAAAAAGGCTTATTTCTCCCTTTTTTGTAATTTTGTAATTACCTTATGATTACAGTTGAGGTAACCATATCTGTTACAGGACAGTGAAGTTACTATTACTGACAAGAAGACAGGTGTTTCAGAGACATTCTGGAACCCAACATCTGATATCAAGCAGCGCAGATTACCTAGATACACAGTGAAGTTTGAAGAGCAAGATGACTTTGAGTCAGAGAAGTAAGTTCACTTTAGAACCATGTATTTATTTTGACAAAATAAAACTCATTATCTTCTCCAAATTATAAGCAAATTATAATTTCTTTTCCATGTTTAATGATACTGGCCTGTAAAACAAGTAACACTGTTAATAAGATCATTATTTATAAACTTCACAATCATGGAAAGTCATGGTAGAAATGTAGATAAACATTACAAATGGTAATGTTCTGTTTGGAGGGTGGTCTATTTACTTAGCCTATAATTGAGGAAATAGTTTGCAATTATTTTGTCAACCAGATTCTGTGTATTGTTCATTTGTCAGGCTTTGGCAACAAGTGACAAGAGCAATAAATAATAAAGACCAAACAGAAGCTACTCAGGAGAAATATGTTCTGGAAGAAGCTCAAAGAAAGAGTGCCAAAGAGAGAAAACTTAAGGGTGAAGAGTGGACATGCAAGCTGTTTGATCAGGATTCAGTCACGGGAGAATGGCACTACAAATACGCTGAGTGAGTCTTGAAGTGCTTGTAGCAAAAACTGCTTGTTAAGTGCTTGAGGTGATGTTGCTGAGACTCTTCCTGTGGCTTTAGGAGCAAAAGTACTGAGACATACAGCTTATGTATAGTGACAAATCTATACTATGTTCTAGACTTTCTTGGGCATGGCACCTTGGGGTTTATTGTGCTCCCTTTTTCCCCCCTACACTGACCAAAGCAGCTATAGAGATTTTCCATACCAGCTGGAAATCAGAAAATCAAGTGTCTGAAAATCAGAGAAGCCTGTGCTTAGTTGATTTGAGCTGTTTAATTTGTTATGTATTAGAGTAACTCTGAGAATAACAGGTTTACAGCAATGCTTAATGCTGGGACCAGGTGGCTCTGCCTGGCTGTCGAATATGCCCAGCATACATGTGATTGTGTGAATCTCTGTGATGATCTGGATCAGAAGATGAAGATGTAGCTGTCTCCCTGACTGCTGGGATGCATTCTGTGTTCTCACCAATGTCACTAAAGTCAGCTTGGAGCTGAGGCCTTTACTAGTGATGGTTTTCATAGAACACCCACATTCTACTGATTGTTTTTCAGTACCCAGCATCGTTCTGTATTGTAGAGACTGTAAAAGTAAAATATCCAAGGATGATACACGCCGAGTTGAGTAACTCTGACGCCAGGGATGATGGAAGTATATTCCTGTGGCTAAACCTGGGAGGCCTTCTCCTTTCTGTAGAAGAAAGGCAAATATTGGGGCAGTGGCCTAAGTATATGTATAGAGAAGACTACAAGAATCCTGAGTACTCTTCATGTCTCCAAGAAATTTGCAACTTAGAGGTTTCCTGGAACCAAGCAGAGAACCTGTGTATTTAGCAACTCTCAGTAAATTTCTTTTCCTGAATTTCCTTGGTTTCCTTTTAAGTTTGTGCAGACTCTTACCACTGAAAACATCCAGCAGCAGGGAAATTCCCTAACTAGATTAAATGCTCTGTGACACATCCTCTCTTGGTTTGAACCCCCTAGTGCTGTTGATGCCTCTTCCTGTTAGGACAGTCCAGCTGAATTGACTGCCCATACTCTCGAACGCTGTGTAAAACCATTAGGAAAAGTACTGTACTTCAAATCTGTTCAGACTATCCCCTGCAGCTTTAATACCTATCTTGCTAATCTGCCTTATTTCTTGTGTCCTTGAGGCCTTGTGGTTCAAGGATGTGCCATGGAAGTTTTACTATGTGCTAGAAAGCAGCCTGCACTGTCAGCATTCCTTTGGAAGAAGCTTCTGTCTCCTTTAAGCGTATAATGCTGGCTAACCACCTGGTCCATGTAGAGAGCAGTCTTTTATGCTCACTGTGAAAGATATGGTCAGTGAGCTGTGGCATTTGTTAAGGTATCTGGATTATAGATTTAGGCATCTGGATTACAAATACAGAAGAGAGCAATGCGTAGTTCTTAACCCAGTTACCTCAGATGGCATTTAATTCAAGTCAGGTTAAGCTAAGATGTTAAGTGCAGGACTGTGTTCACCACACATGAAACATCTACAAACTATTAAAAGGCATACAGAAGCACATGGAAGGAAATCCATGCTTAATCTACTCTCCCTAAAGCTGCATATCAGAACGACCCTGATGCAGCTCACTTGCAGTTTCCTGAAACAGTCCACAGCTGTAATCAGTGGGGCCATTGGTCTTTGCCTTTGGCTACTTGTTACTCTCCACTGAGCTATTGGTCTTACGCTTTTTTTTTTTAAGTTCTGTATCAGGCTATACTTGGAAAAGCATTCTTAAAAAATCAGAACAAGAAAACTGTGCATAGCTCATTAGTGTCTCATGAAGTCAGTCTTGATTACTATTAGCTCCCTTTGGGATGAAAGCAGGTTTGAGGTAACTGATTCTTAACCTCTTCTTCCTAGGCATCTTTTAAAAGAAAAAAAAATTGCAACAAAAAGTGGCCAAAAACTAAAATAATTTTTAATTTCCCCTAATTTCCCTGTAGTTCTAAAATAATAACTGTATCTTAAGCAGGAAATCTCTCCATGTTTGACAAATACATATCACTGGCCAAATAAATTCATCATGATATTGTTGGTTAATACAATAGCTTGTACTCTTACCAGCTGGCTGAGGATTTGACCTGGATGTGAACTTTATTTTTTGTCTCTCTTGGCCCTTTAGGTTAGGACTGGGCTATAAGTGGAAATCAGATCGCTTATTATATAGGGAGAGCTTTAGCCTCTTCATACTGAGTAGTTACTGAGCAAGGAAATATTTAAATCGCTGTAGTGTTAATAATATTTCCTTTTTCTAGTACCAGACCATGGGACCCTTTGAATGATATGATCCAGTTTGAAAAAGATGGCACAATCCAAACAAAAGTTCGACATCGGACACCAATGGTATGTTCCAGTTCTGATAGCACATGCAGCAAGATCCAGGGACTTGCATATATTATGCATTATCTGTATAAAGGTCATCAAAGCACTGGGATTGATGGGAAATGCTGTTATCCAACAAAAATGTTGTTTACCCAGTCCATAGTCTTTCACTTGTGTGTTGCATTCTAAGCAGTAAAGGTGAACTTGAATGGATGGGAATATAAAATATGCAAACTTGAACTCAGCAGTTTAATGTGTATTATCCTATAAATGGTAAGATGCACAAACTTTAGGCTGCTTATGCCTCAAAAATTTTAACTTGGACTTCTATTGAATATTATTCTTTTAACTGTAACTGTTAGAATGTCCTGCTTTGCTACAGTTCTGGTTCTCTGGAAATAACACGTAGGTTTATCAATTTTAGGTTACTGTTCCAAAAATTAAACGAAAGCCAGCCAGTCAGAAGAAAGGAGAGTGTGGTTTCTCATCCCCGGAGCCTGATAACCAGGATTCCTCTGGGAGTGAAGGTATGAAAAGATACATTTGCATTCAGAAATAATAAATTTATTTGACAGCTAAAGAGCTCAGAGGCACACATACTCTTCTTATCTCAGTGACTGTATTATGTTTTATATCACGTTGGATACGATGTGAAGCACGTTCTGGAAAACAAAAGGAGCAGGACAGCTCATGGTTTTAATTGCAAACTTTCCTGTCCTTTTAAATGCAGTATAGGCAGGCTTAAATGCTGCACATATTTAATACCTGGGGGAAAAAAATGGTGTTTGTAAAATCTTTTCTTTCTTAAAACAAGATGAATTGTTTTAATTTGTAGATTAGTATGTGGCTAGGGGGCAGATTTTTGTTGTTGATAATGCTTGCAAAAATTAAACAACATTGTGAGTTTAAGATATTTCAAGCGCCAAAATTGCTGTCCTTCTGTGCTATAGGTCACTCCGAAATAAAGGTTTCAGTAGAAAATAATTAAAAAACTTTCTCCTCATTTTTGCAACTGGTTTAGTTAGTCATTTGTACTTTATTCCTTTTGTGGCTGAAGTCACTTCAATTACATCTGGCTTTTCTATCCTTCAAGCACAACTTCTGAAGCATAATACAAGAATAAGGAAAAAAGGGGCAGACCTTGGTGAACTGCAGAGTGCCATTGAATCTATAAAGGAAACACAAGAAGACATTAAGAGGTAGTACTAATCAAAATGCTTGAAAATTGTTTAGAGAATAGTAATTCCATAGCTTTTTTTTTTTCCCATTTTCTGCTTTAGAGCCTTGCTGTCTTTATTCTTCTTCACAACTATTGATTGCTCATTGACATTTTATAGTTTTCCTCAAAAGCTCCCTTCGACAGGGAGCCTTAACATAGTAGAAAATGCCAAATTGTCTAGTTTGTAATTTACAGGATATTGTTTTCTGTCTTACAGGGACATTATGGCTCTACGAAATAGAGTCTCTTCTAATTCACCACCCGTGGACTACCATTTCCTGCAGTTTAAGCACTATGTCTTCATTTTCCTCTTGGTTCTACTACAGCTTGTCATTAATTTCTTGTTCAAATAGGAAGTGTGAACAAGGGCCTTCTCAAACTGGAACGATCAAACTGTTACTGGGGACCATATTTTAAACTGGACTTTTAATGATGCAATATTATCTAAAAGAACCGTGTAGCAACAACTCACAGAACTTTGCGTCAGCGTTCATGGTTCAGAATCATACTCCTGTCTACCCAGTTGAAGTAAGAATTGTGTAAGTGCCAGTACACTCTTGCTCCTGGTGTGTGCCTCTGTCTCGTAGTCATACGACATCAGCCTTGCGTTTATATTACATCATACACTGTACTGATCAATCTTCACCACAGAATAGATGAAGTTAAAAACTCAGAGGTCAGACCTTGTAGGTAGGATGTGATTACTATTATGGTAGAATGATAAACAAACATACTTCATTACATATAAACTTATCATTTTTATAAAAAAGGAACTTTTGAAGTAGCCAACAGCTTTTGTAAATGGCGTTGGGAGTTTGGAAGTAAGCTTTTGCTTAAGGTCAAACATACATTATTATACAAAAAATCATGAGCGTTAGGAACTGGCAAGTAAAAAGCTGAAGTCTTTGGGAAATCTGCAACATAATGTCCTTGATTTGTTTTGGAAGTATGAAGTTTTTATCCTGAATCACTATAGGCTTGTAAGCCAGCTGTTTTATAGTTTTAAAACTTCAGATTCTTCATAAAAACATTCCTGCATCTACTGTACAGAGCACATTTTTAACAGTACAGCACCCAGGAAGGTACTGTCTTGGTCTACTCTCTCTCATGAACTGCAAATGTCAAGAATTTCTGGTATGTTTGTAAGTCTTGATAAATCTACAGCTTTGACTTTAGATTTGTGTATGGCCATGTCAGGGTAAGACTGCTGATGCCAGAATTCTTGGTTATTTTTGAAACAAAATGTGAAGACGAAGAGGTGTGTTTAGTGTGTAGCTTGAGCTGAACCTCCCAAAAGGCAGACAGTGTAGAACAGGATTCGTGTACTGTAATGAGTTCACTTGCAAATGAAAACGTGTGTTTACAAGGGGAAAGTTCAGAAATTTTGCAGTGGCTAACACCACATATATCAAAACAAATGAGAGGGAAACCCTAAGTATTTGTGAGGAAGGAAATCCCTCCTTACTGCAAGTATATACTACCTACCAGAATACATGAATACACCTACTTAGTATGCTGTAGCCATACAAATTAATATGAAGATTAAATTTCAATTCAGAAGCAGGGTTTTTTATTTGAAGAAATATATGCATGTGTAGAATTTGTAAAATTTCAGCAAAAAAATTTAGTGCTGGTGTTTATCTGGTGAGTTCCTTGTGCCAGTCAAGCGTACCAAGTCAAGAAGAGGCTGTAGTATTGTAAAGATACTCTCAGTTACCCAGATGAGACAACAGGAAGATAAGCGGCACAATGTGAAGTGCAGTCAAGTTCATTTTCAGGGGATCCTCTCAGGAATCAAATCCATCCTGGGCAGTGGAACAGTTCAAAGGGCATGTTTGGCTTTTTGGCATGGCCAGGTTATCCCTCGGCCTTGGGGTAGCCTTCTTGACTCACCAGGTGATCTGCCTTTCTGTTCTGCATCAGTCTCACTAGTATTTAGTGAAAATACTGTTTACTCTTTTATCTGTCTAGCTTATATATTTCTGTGGCTGACAGCTTCACACACCTCCCCTTCTTTTTTACCTTTCCCCTTCTTTGAGCCTTAGCTATGTAAAAGTTTATTGTGTAAGCACTCAACTTCAGCATATTGCTTACAGCTTCACATTAGCATGGTTTGGTCTTGAATAATTTTTCTGGAATGTGGTACCTTAAGCAGGTCTTGCATTTATGGGCAAGACCAAAGTCCCTTTGTAAACAAAAAATTACAAATGCCTAAGTCTCTAAGTGGAAACTGAAGTTGTTAGCCATGTATAAAATAGCATTAAGAAAGCAGAATATTACAGCTTTCACTTAATGTTCTCAGCCTGGAATTTGGCCATTCGTTATTGCATTCAGATGTCAAAGCTTCACCTGTCTTAAGATCCAGTTCGAGCCTTTAAACATATTCTGTACATGAGAAGAATCCACTAAATGAGATTTGGGCCATGACTTCAATCCCCTGAAATAATACTCTGCTAAATTTGTGGTGCTGAAACTCTTGACCGATAGTTATAAGTTTCTATTTTCCTTGTAAATAGAAATGTCCTTCTGCCTTTTCATGTTCATTTTTTAATCACTTCTGTTCAAGAGCAGTAGGTAACACAGTTTGCATGTATTTGTACATGGACTGCGTGGTAGTAACTGGATTTGACCCAGCAAGCTGGCTGGCAGCTTGGTGTTGGACAATGTCAGACTCCATATCTGAAATTCATACTCAGCTCAAGATAAGTAAAGCACTTGAACAGAGCAAGACAAAATCCCTATGCTTATTTTCCTCTTCAACTTATTTTTTAGAGTTGAATTCTGTTTGTAAAAGTGGTTTTAGGGATGATCTGAAAAGGTAAAGGATATGTGATGAAACTTTTTGAAAAGTAAAATTGCAGACTTCTTGAGTGTATGATTAGATAAATTCTGAAAAGTACAGTGAAAACGTAGTAATTCCTATTCTGATGGGTTTTGTATGATGTTCCCTTATTTGAATAGAACAAAGAAACTTCTTGAATTTTTACAGTACAGCTGGTCACAGGCATGTATGGAGCCTTTTCTTTAGTGTATCACCATTGTCCTGTTTAACCATGATGTATGATCTTGACTCTCCTGCCTGCTTGAGTTCTGCTCATAGTTATAAAAATGGATTGTACAGTTTGCAGATGTTGGAGAGCTGTGGCCTCCTACTAGTTTTTGAAGTTTAAAACAGCACTTCACATTTGATTTACAAATCTTGTTTTGTTTGGGTTTTCCTCTCTTGTACAGGAAATATTTTCAGAATTTGCTGCCATGTGGTTTTGTTGGGTTTGTTTTCAAATGCACTCTATGCCTTTAATTTGCCATTTAGGTACAGATTGCCTAGTTGGGTACAGATGACCTAAGCTAAGAAAAAGTAAATATGCCATGTGAAATGCAAAAAGTATCATTTTCAGCAGTAGATGATGTTTCTTGCGTTTCACATGTTGATTCCTTTTAAATAGTTGACATTACATGAGAGTATATAGCCTGGTTGTCATGTCATGTCATGTTTGGTTTGGTTTGGTTTGGTTGTTGTTTGCTGCTCTCCTGTGCCTTTGGCATTTTTTTTTTTTTTTTTGTTGGACTAGTGTTTATGAAATAGACTTGGGATTCAGTGTTTCCTATAGTTTCTTAAATGCTGTTACTTTTGGTTATTACCACTGTTTGTGTAAATAACGTATAACAAGAATTCTGTACATCTGTAAGTTTTAATTATTTTTATTTCAAGAGTATCCTCAAATCACAGAAAATTTAGCAGATATTCAAGTATTGTTAACAGTGCCTTCTTGATGGGTTTCTTGCTGTTCCGAGACTTGTAAAGATTTGTCAAATTTGTGCCATATGTAACATCTGACCATTTGTTAGGGCTTTTGTGGTTGTGAACTGATTTTCCTGCTTAGTCAGACTCTGGGAGGGGAAAAAAAACCTCTTAAAGCATTACGTTACTCTCTCTTTCTGGCTGGTGAGCCAAAAGTGGAGGATTTTGGGTGTTTACAGTGAAGCTGCACTACTTTGTAGTAATACAGAAATAGCCATAACGAAGTAAGAACTTCACGGAGACATTATCTGGGCCTTTTCTTTTAACTTTTTCTCCTTTCTGCCCTGCCCCGCTCTGCCAAGCGGGAAAATCAGCCCTCAGGACACAGCGCCCGCCTCCCCCGTCCCCGCGTCCCGCGCAGTCCGTCATTCGGGATCACCGCTCTCTGTGAGGGATCTGAACTGTAATAGGGCGGCGGAATCCGCCGTCGCCGCCTCCAATAAAGATGTGTCGCAGCTCGGCTCAGCCTCTCGGCTCTGTGCGCCGGTCCCCGGGCCGGACCGATTCCCGCTCCCGCTCTCCCCGTCCCCCTGGGCCGCCCCTCGGCCCTTGCCCAGGCGCGGCCGTGACGCGCGGCAGGCGGAAGGGGCGGTGCGATGGCGGCGGCGATGGCGGAGCCCGTGCGGGAGCTGCCGCGGCTGTGGCAGGAGGCGGCAGCGCTGGCGGGGGCGGTGCGCGGCGCGCTGGGGCCGCGGGGCGGGCGGGCGCTGCTGCTGCAGCCCACAGGCGAGGCGGTGCCGACGCGGGACGGGCGGCGGCTGCTGGAGGCGCTGAGGCTGGAGCCGCCTGCGGCCAGGTACCGCGGCGGGGGGG